TAGCTCTACACACATACCAGCTTTATGCCTTGGAGGGGTCCTCTAACTTCTGTGGATCTCAGCCAGTATTTCCATCTGCAAAGCACACAATGTTGGATTAGGTCATCATTTCCTGACAGTGGTTAAACAGTCCCTCCACTTAAATGTTTAATAAAGGATATTTCAAGATTATCATTAAAACAAAAATATTTGAAAGTTTCCAACTGCATATCAGGTAAGTACTTGCTGTGGTTGGTGGAAGTGAGATTGGGAGCAGGTGTCAAACCTGTACATAGAAAGCCTCAGTAGTTTTGACTATTATTCAGTCTTCAATTATTTTGAATTTGGATCTTTCTGCAGCTTTTAATTGCACTGAATCATTGTTTAAGACAATGAGTTTAATGAGCACCAATGTCAATCCAGGAGTTAAGGAAGAATACAGAGTGCGTGCATGCCCAAAATCCTGAGAGGAGAATGGAGAAGAAGGGATTGCAGCCTGGCCATCCCCCCTGGGGGTGAGTCTCAGTTTCTCTGTCTGGCTGGCAAGCACATGTGCTCTATAGCTAAAATCTCTATTTTATTTTTTTTTAAAGGAAGGATACAAAAATGCTAATTACGTAAAATTTACTTTAAAATATTTGGGCTTTCATTTACCAGATGGAAGTTATTAAAAAATCACAGCAGTATGTCATAAGAATACAAAAAGTAATTTAAAGGTGAAAATACATTTTTTCTTTTCATCCTATTCATCTTTTTCTAGTAGTTTTATAGTTTTATAGTTTCTTACCATTAAGTCCATTTTGAGTTGACTTTTTTTACATGGCATAAGGGTCCCAATTTTATTATTATCTAGATATATAGTTTTCCCAATGCCATGTACTGAAAATATTATACTTTCCCTAGATTAGCTGATTAGCATGTGGGTCTATTTGTGGGCTCTCTATTCTGTTCCATTGGTCTATGTGTCAGTTTTTCAGCTAGTACTATACTGTTTTATTTCTGTAATTTAAAAATATATTTTGAAATCAGAAAATGTGATGCTTTCAGCTTTGTTCTTTCTCAATACTACTTTTTTAGCTATTTTAGCTATTTTTTATTTTTTTGAAGAGGTTTTTGCTATAGGGCACATGCACTCACCAGAGAGAGACAGAGAGATAGAAAGTGAGAAATCACCCCCCTCCCCAGGGGGGATGGCCATACTGCAATCCCTCCTCCTGCATTCTCCCCTTGGGATCTTGGGCACACACGCACATGCACCCGGTGTGAGTTTAAGCTGCCGGGTCCAGGACTCAAACCGCGGTTGACTACGTGGGAGTCCAGCAACATAGCCATTACACTAACTGCTGGTCCCAATACTGCTTTAGATATTTGTAGTCTTCTGCAATTCCATATAAATTTTAGGATTCAGCAATCCAACTTCTAGGAATAGATCCAAAAGGACTGAAGTCAAGACCCCAAAGAGGTATCTACATTCTTATGCTCAATTGCAGCATTATTCAGAATGTCCAAAATACTGAAACAACCTAAATATCTATCAACATATACATGAATAAAGTAAATGTGGGATATACACAAAATGGAATAATATTCAACTTTAGAAAATAAGGAAATCTTGCTGTATGTGTCCACATGGGTAAACTTCAAGGACATTATGCTAAGTGAAATAGGCCAGTCACCGAAGGACAAATATTGCATGATTCCACTTAGGTAATATATATATAAAATAATCTAACTCATAGAAGCAGAGAGTAAAATAGAGGTTGTTAGGACTAGGAGTGGGTGGGATGGAGACGTGATGGTTAAAGGATGCAATGTTTCACTTACATGAGAGGAATAAATTCGAGAGATCTGCTGTACAACACGGTATCTGTAGGTAACACAGTATTATGCACCTTAAAAATTTAGCCTGTAGGACTAGCAGATGGCATAATGGTTATGTCACTGGACTCCCACATGGTTGACCATGGTTCAACTTCCAGACCTGGCAGCTTAAAATTCACACTGTGCTAGTGTGTGTGCATGTACAAGATCTTGAGAGGATAATGGAGGAGAAGGGATTGTGGCATGACCATCCCCCTTGAGGGGTGATTTCTCGCTTTCTTTCTCTCTGTCTCTCTCAGTCTCTCTGGTGAGAGCACGCGCCCTATAGCAAACATCTTTCCCCAAAAATTAAATTTTTGAGTTTATATTTTTAATTGCCAAAGGGTATGTATACTTGCCAGAAAGAGATAGAGAGACAGAGACACAGAAAAAGAGAGGGAGAAAGCACTCACCATGTGGCATAATCACACCACAATCCTTTCTCCATTTCTCCATCTCGTTGGGATTTTGGGTGTGCACAGGCATGGGCCTGGCATGTTTTTCAATGATCTGGGCCAGGATTTGAAACAGTCAGCTGCATGGGATTCAGCTCTCCTTAACTACTAGGCTAAGAAATTTGTTAATTTTTTAAATAAATCTTGTGTTAACTGTTCTTACCATACAAAAAAGTATGTGATAAACAGACAACCATCATGAGTCTTTGATATATGTATAGTCCGGTTTTCTTATATATAATATATATATATATATAGTATTTTTATACTTTTTCTGCATAGGAATCTTTTTCATAATATGTAAGTAATAATGTACTTTACATGCACTATACATATACATACCCAGGTATCAGTTTATTGCTCTTAATTTCTGTAGTTTATGCTGCCATATGATAACTGTATCCTTTTTGCATTCAGTTCTCTTTAAGTGGCAAATTACAGTGTTTCTCATTATTCTCAGTTGAAAATTATGCCACCTGTTTCCAAGTGCTTATGTTTAAGAGCTGCTCTAGCATTAAAACCCAAGGGTGGAATTACTTTCCTGTGGTCTATATGCATTTTCATGTTTTATAGGTAGCGCCAGAGAGTTTTTCAAATGATTTTTCTGGTTTTCATACCCACTAGCAGTGTCTGAAAGATCTCAACCTTCTGACATTTGGTATTAGAAGAGTTTTAAATAAACAACTATGAAATGTATCCTCTTGTTCTAATTTACATGTCTCTAGTTTCTACAGAGGTTGGCTTTTTTCGTATGTTTATTTGCCATTGAAATTTCTCATTATAAATTTTTCTTGTTTACATCTTTTTTTTTTTCAGATGGGCAGGCTGTCATTTTTCATAATAATTACAGGAATTTAAAAAAATATATATTCTGGATATATGGGAACCAGCAGTTAGCGTAATGGCTATGTTGCTGGACTCCCACATAGTCGACCGCGGTTTGTGTCCCAGACCCGGTGGCTTAAAACTCACGCCGGGCGCGTGTGCGTGCATGCCCAAGATCCCGAGAGGAGAATGGAGGAGAAGAGATTGCGGCGTGACCATCCCCCCTGGGGGGGGGTGATTTCTCGCTTTCTGTCTCTATGTCTCTCTCTGTCTGTCTGGCGAGTGCACGCGCCTTATAGTGAAAATCTCTCAAAAAAATATATTCTGGATATTATCTTATAATTCTGTCAGGTTTTACTTTGTATATTCCATGCTGTCTTTGGGTATATAGACGTTATGATTATTTCCTTATGGTTTTTTCTTATATCTCTGTGACTTCTCTTCCCTGTCTTTATCAATGATTTTTAACTTCAGATATAACTTTTTTTCTCTTTATTCATGAGAGAACACATGTGTACTCTTTAAGATCAAAGACTCAAGACCAACATGTAGCTTCATTCTTCACCTAAGTGTATGCTTCAGTTTTGTTTCTGTTATATAGAAATGTTTATTTTCATTTTTGCATGACTATGTCTTATGACTAATAATAATAATAATAAACCTACCATTGGCTTGCGTTTGGATCAAAGCGGGACACAATAATCACAAATGTATAATATTATTTTGACTAAATTTTGTTTAATCACTTTTGTAAATTTATTAATATAACAGATAAGAAAATAGCTATTACTCAGTGAATTGCATGCTTCTGCTAAAGGTGAAACTGATCTATTTCCACACGATTGAATACCCCTTAGGTAATGCATACTCATACTCTTTGCCAAAATGTGTATTGAAATCATTTCTGGCTTTTCTCCTATTTTAATGTAAAATTGGTGACAAGATTTCACCCTTTTTTGTTTAACCCACTGTCTCTACTTCTACCCCACTTGTGTTCTCGGTTCTCAACACTTTCTGTCCTAGACTAGTTCAGCAATCTCCTAAACAGCTTCCTAATCCAGGATAACCTCAGAGCAGTGGTCCTCAAACTTTAGTATGCATCACAATCATCTGAGAGTTTGTTGAAAAAAAATTACTGGGTCCCAACCAATGTCCACCCTAAACTCTCCTCAGGCCCTAACTTTTGGATTCAGTAAGACTAGGGTAGAGCCTGAATCTGAATCTCCAACCAGTTCCCAGGCAACCTGTTAGTCTGTAGACCACACTGTTTTTGTTTGTTTGTTTACTTTTTTTTGCCATTGGGCAAATGTGCTCACCAGAGAGAGACAGAGACCAAAAAAAGTGAGAAATCACTGCCCAGGGTGGATGGCTACAATTTCTTCTCCTCCATTCTCCTCTCAATATTTTGGGCATGATACACGTGCACCCAGCATGTTTCTCAAGCTGCTGGGTCTAGACTTGAACCGTGGGGTTGGCCATGTGAGATCCAGCACCCTAATCATTATGCCACTTGCTGGCCTGTGGACCACACTTTCAGAATTACTGCTTAAAAACATTCTTTACATTCTAGCACTCCATTACTCAATACCCTCCAGTAGTTTCCTGCTGCCAGGAACATCATCCTACATACCCATGTTTGAGGTTCTCAAACATTCACTTTATTCTACCAGTTTTAGTTCCCTTATCTCTCCTAGTAGTCTTAATAGCTTTGCAGTAAATTCCATTAACCCGCTGTACTGTGTTCAAAAGATCTTGCATGACAATTTTTTCTTGAAGAATGGATTCATTTCTTATCCAATAATAAGCAGTTCATACATATAAAATAATTCCAGTCTTATTTTTCGCCATGGTACTCTTTTCATTTTTTTATTTCTATTTCAGTCTTGAAGAAATTATTGGATTTACAACAGACTTTGTTATCTCTCTTTGGGCTCTACTTAAGACACATAGGAAGAGAAAGATGAAGACAATGGTAGGACTCCACCATGAATATGTTAAAATGATCCTTAGTCAGCAAGTTTGCCTCATTTAAATTTAATATGAGTAGTTTAAAAAACCTCTTCTTAGGCAATCTGTTTATTTTTGGGTAGTCCTTCAGATATTTAGAAAGGCTTTATTTTTAATTTAGTGGTTAATTTTATATTTATAATATTACATAACTCTCTTACTTTTCAGTTTTTCTAGAAAATATCTATGAATTTCTTTGTAAGAAAAAAATATGCTAAAAATATCATGTTCTGGGGCCAGCAGATGGCATTGTGGTTAAGGCGCTGCACTTCCACATAGTCAGTGATGGCTCAAGTGCCGAACCTGGTGGCTTGAAAATCACACCTGGTGCATCCTCATGCATGCCCAAACATCCCAAGAAGAGAGGGATTGTGATGTGGTCCTCCCCCTCCCTAGGGGTGATTTCTCATTTTCTCTCTATCTTTCTCTGTCTCACTCTGGCAAGGTAAAATGCCCTATGGTAAAAACCTAAACAAACAAACAAAATTCCTTCTTTCTGTCTGCTCCTTTGCATTTCCTCTCCCACTGATTTTAGTTAAAAATTGCATTTTACTGTGTTGTGTTTCTTCATATGTTTAATATGCTTATGCTTCCATTATTTGCTACATCCGATTTAATGTATCTTCATTTCCAGTTCTTCCATGAGGCAATTAATACCGTTTGCCTTCCTTTCCTTTCCTGGCCTATATTTATGTTAGTTTTATCATTTCTATATTGCCAGGAATATAATCTTGACATTCTGCTAGGGATCCTTAATCTCTACATTATTTTTATTATCAGTTCTATAGAACAATATTTTGAATGCTTTCTGTTAATCCATTTGTCATAATTACCAGAGTTTTTATTTGTTGGCTGAAGTAATTCTCTAGGAGTTTCTTAAGAAGGTCTCTTGAGATTCTTCTACTATTAAGTAAGAAATAGGCCTGAGTCTTATAAGTTCAAAGCTTTTATATTTGTTTGTACCCTTTATTCTTGAAGGATAGCTTGGCTAGATATAAAATTATTTAGGGACCAGCAGTTAGCATAATGACTGTGTTGCTGGACTCCCATGTAGCCGACCGTGGTTCAAGTCCCGGACCCGGTGGCTTAAATTCACGCCGGGCGCGTGTGCGTGCGTGCTCAAGATCCCGAGAGGAGAATAGAGGAGAAGGAATTGCGGCATGGCCATCCCTCCTGGGGGGGTGATTTCTCACTTTCTATCTCTCTGTCTGTCTCTCTGTCTTTCTGGTGAGTGCACGTGCCCTATAGCAAAAACCTCTCAAAAAAAAAAATTATTTGCCTATATTTTCTTGCCTTGTATGTCTTGTAGGTGCTTCTTTAGAGAAATATGTCAGGTTGTTTATGTTCACTTAATTTCTTCTCCATAAGTAATGTGATTTTTTTAAAACCTGGCAGCACTGGGGCTGGGAGGTAGCATAGTGGTTAAGGTGCTGGACTCCGACATGACTGACCATGCTTTGAGTCCCAGACCTGGTGGCTTTCATTCTCACTTTCGCTTTCTCTCACTCTGTCTCTCTCTGGTCAAATTTAAAAAACAATAATAGTAACAACAAATGGAATTAAATAAATGCTTCTTTAAAAAAAAACCTGGCAGCACAATATTTTATTTTTCACTTTAAAATCCATAGACATTACTAGATTGTGTTTCCATATTGACTTTTTAGATCACTTTTTCCTGGCACAGTGTGTCCTGCACATTTAGTTTTAAATATTTTATTTCAGGAAGTTTTCTTAATTAATGTATTTCTATTCTCGCTTGCTTCTATTTTGCCTTTGCTTTCTTCATTAGGATCTCCATCTATGCATTTGTTGTATTTGCATGACTATTTTATATGTAAGGATATTTTACTACCCTTTTTAATGCTTTTTTATTTTCATTATATTCTGTTTGTTGTTCTCATTTTTATCCTATATATTTCTCTTTTTTCCTTTTTTTTTTTTTTCTTATTGTCAGAGATCAGATGTGCTTTCCAGAAAGAGACAGATAGAGTGAAAGGAAGAAATCATCCCCCAGTGAGGCATGGTCATGCCACAATCCCTTCTCCAATTCTCTATTCTGATTTGGGGTACACATGCACATAGGTCTGGCATGTTTTTAAAGCCTCTGGGACTGTGATTTGACCAGCGGTTAGCCATGTGGGATCTGATTTCCTTAACCAGTAGGCCATGGAGACAGCCCTATATTTCTTACTGTATCCTCTTTGAGGCCTTCTCTCTCTCTCTCTCTCTCTCTCTTTTTTTCTACAGGGCGGGTGCACTCACCAGAAAGACAGAGAGAGATAGAGAGACAGAAAGTGGAAATCACCCCCCAGGGGGGATGGCCACGCTGCAATCCCTTCTCCTCCATTCTCCTCTTGGGATCTTGGGCACGCACGCACATGCGCCCGGCGTAGTTTAAGCCACCGGGTCTGGGACTTTAACCATGGTTGACTACATGGGAGTCCAGCGACATAGCTATTATACTAACTGCTGGTCACCTTCAAGGCCTGCTGTCTCTTGAAATTATTTCAATTTGATCATCTCTCTTGTGATAGTTTATTTTCCTTCTTTTCTGAGTTAGCAGCTTTAGTTTTATCTTCTGTTTCCATCTCTTCAGCAAGTTCTTGCATTCATATGTTTTAATTTCCTTTCACAGAGGAAATTGTACTATTGTTTTAATTAATAGTAAAATATATTATCGTAATTTTATCTATCCAGTAGCAACATTTTCCAGGTAAGTGTAATTCATCCATTTGAAAGTTTTACTGTTTGTTTCTGTATCTTTTATAGTATTGTTATAGCTAGGCAATAAGAATTCTGTTTAGTACTAATTTTAAAATAAATTGGACTTGGGCTGGTAGGTTGTGGTGGTTAAGGTACTGAATCCCACATAGTTGACTGTGCAGTCTGTGTCCCAGACCCAGGGGCTTCAAAAACACACTGGGTGTGAGTCCGCATGCCCAAAATCCCAAGGGAAGAATGGAGGAGAAAGGATTATGGCATTGGCCATTCCATTTCAAGGGTACTTTCTCACTTTCATTCTCTCTTATCTCTTCAGGCCCCTCTGTCTTTCATATGCCCTATAGCAAAAAAAAAAAGAAAAAAAAAAAGTTGCGTTTTCCTGGCCAACTATCTCCAAGAGATAACAAAGAAACTGCTTCCCACAGATACAGTTTCTCTATGTCATTCTCTGAGTATCTCCACTTCCTTTGCTTCTCTGACCTGAACCAGATCCAAGAAACTTATATAGCACCCTTGGTCTTTTTAGTTCCTGAAGAGATAAGTTTTTTATCTTCAGAAGGTCTGCTTTTGCTGATATGTGTAAGATCGGATGCCACCTGGTTTTCTCACCATTCTATACTTTTAGCAGTCCTTGAATTTTTGGCAGAGTCTATTAATCATGTCATTCCTGTTTTTCTGAAAATGCAGTTTATGTTTTATATGTTTTGGTCATTCTTGTTGATTTTGCAGAAATTTCTGAGAGGGAAAAAAAAAGAAAGATATCAATGTTTATAACAGAAGGCTTCCTACTGTATATTTTGATATGGAAACTATTATTTTATAAGACTGCAGTTGTAGCTGTAACAATATCTGTTGTATAACTAGTTCCTACTTAATATAAATGAAGTCTCTGTTTTTTCCATATTATTGGCTGTTCAGTCAGGTCTTTGCTCTGTATGCTTATGTTGCTGTACATGAGCACACATGAGAAAGAAAGAAAGCGCACTTCTTTTTTTTTTTTTTTTTTTTTTTTTTTTTAATGTTTTTTTTGAGTAGGGGGCCGGTTTTTGCTATAGGGTGCGTGCGCTCGCCAGAGAGACAGAAAGACAGAAGGCGAGAAATTATCCCCAGGGGGGCTGGCCATGCTGCAATCCCTTCTCCTCCATTCTCCTCTCAGGATCTTGAGCACGCACGCATACGTACCCGGCGTGAGTTTTAAACCACCAGGTCCGGGACTCGAACCGCGGTTAGGTGGGAGTCCAGCAACATAGCCATTATGCTAACTGCTGGTCCCAAGAAAGCGCACTTCTAAACAGGGCCTGTTCATGCTATAATCTTTTTTTCCCCTCCATTTCTTTATCCTGTCAGGATCCTGGGCATTTCGTTCGTGTGCCCAGTGTGATTATCAACCTACTGAGACCAGGATATCAAATGCAGTTGGCCATGTAGGATTTGTCTCCCTGGGTATAGGGTTTAACCACTGCATTATGGAGCTGACCCTATGTGATATTTATCAGTTTACCATTGATAAATTCTGATGTTGACATATCCCTAATATTCCAGATTACTGACATGATTTTTTAATACCTTTTTTTAAAAAATTTGCTATAGGGCATATGGGCTTATCAGAGAGAGAGTGAGATAAAGCCTCCCTCAGGAGTGATGGCCACACCATGGTTCCTTCTTCCTTTTCTCTGGGTTTTGGGCATGCACGTCCATGTGCTGGTGTGTTTTCCAAGCCTCTGGGTTCAAGACTTGAAACTTGCAGTCAGTTATGTAGAGTTCAGCAACCTTATCCACCACACCACTGGCTGGCCCAGTGATTTTGTATTTTTATAAAAGACATTAGCAATTATATGTTTTGAAGGATTTTTTTTTAATTCTTATTTTGATACTGAAAAGAACTGTTACTCCTCCAGAGAAAGCATTCTGTTTTACATTAACTATGTCTGCAACTAGCCTGATTTTCTTTTTATTAACAACTGTTAGAAAAATTATGGCCCAGTTTTTGGTTCACTTCAGATAGTAGAACACATCACAACGGTATGCACTTTGATTTTAGTTCCAGCTTTTTATTCAGATTCACTTTAATTTGGGTCATTTTGCTATACTTCATTTGTCATTGAAAGTCAATTTTAATTTTTTTCTGTAATAATCTTTTTCTTCCCCAGTTATGAAAATCCCAAAAGTCTGCTCATGTTAATAAACACGTTGTTCAATAGGAAGTCTAATTGACATCTACCTATAGTGAAGATTTTCTTCGGA